ACACCCGCAGATCAAAGGCAGTATCCTTTCCGGGGGACACACCCGCAGATCAAAGGCAGTATCCTTTCCGGGGGGGACGGGACACCCGCAGATCAAAGGCAGTATCCTTTCAGGGAGGGGCACCCGCCTGGCTATCAGCAGTATGTCAGTTTCCTTAACCGCCTCCCCCCAGTCCATCACGGCCCAGCCATCGCTCAGCCCATCAGCATCGACAGCAGCCAGCACTCCAAGTGCTTCGTCAGTGACTACCTGTGGAGCCTGGTGGACACGGCCTGGTGACCCTGCCCAAGCCAGCCTCGGGCGAGCGAGGAAGAGCCGGCTCGTGCCGCGACCAGCGTGAGGAAGGACGGAGCCCAGGCTAATCACAAAGGGATTTTTTATTCATGTAACAATCAGCGTTTGAAATCATTAAAACCCGTGACTGGTAAGAAGAGACACCGGGCGTCAAATGTCACTCGGCCAGTCAGTAACTGCAGGTGCTGCCAACCCTCCAGCCTGCTAGAGCCCTGGGGGAGAATGTCCTGTGTCCCCCAGGGGAACGGTTCTCTCTGGGCACCAGAAACTGGCTGGGCCGAGGCCGCGACTCCGCAGTGGAAGGGGAACTCCCGCTCCTTGGCCACCCCGCCCAGACTCCTCCCGAGGAGGGAGGGGCTGGGAAGACCCCACGTGCCCATCTCCGAACTAAAGGGCAGGTGGGAGGGGGGCAGCACGTCCCTGCCCCCACCCCCCTTGGCACTTGGAAAAACGCTCCCCCCCCAGCCCGGCTGGTTAACACTGACCCCTGCGCTGGGGGGGTGAGGGGGGCAGCGCTAGCAGCAGTCGAGCTGCTGGTCCACCTGCTTGCGGCACGGCTCCATGGTGATGGCCACCCCCACCCCGCTGCGCCCGGACGTCATGCGCGTCACCTCCGTCCAGGTGTCGGTGGTGGGGTCGTAGCACTCCACGCTGTCCAGGAAGGTGTGCCCGTCGTAGCCGCCTGCGGAGGAGAGAAGCTGCTGCCATCAGTCGGTTCCCGTTGCCCCGCGGGGGAGGGCTCGGGCCCTGCCCCAGCAGGAGCCGGGACCAGCCCGGGTCTCTGCCCCGCTCGTGCCCAGCCCCCGGGACTCACCCAGCACATAAATCTTGGCCTGGTGCACGGTGACGGCCAGCGCACTGCGCCGGTGCCCCATGGGGGCGGCGAAGGTCCAGCTGTCCGTCTCCACGTCGTAGCGCTCCACGCTGTTGAGCTGGTCCGTGCCGTCGTAGCCCCCCATGGCGTAGATGCAGTTGTTGAGGGCACAGACGCCTGTGGGAACATGGAGCAG